GCTCGGATCGGCTGGTCGGATTGTTGCAGAAGCGACCGAAATCAACCGGCTGGCCTGGCCAGATGGAGGGAGACAGACGTGATGGAGATGTGGAGACCACTTGGCGGCCAGATGATCGGATCAACGCGATCTGCCTCTGATGCGAAGGCAATTACTGACTGACCGGGGTTCATGCATGGGCAAGACCAGGGAGTAAGGGAATAGGTTGCCTAATCTGCTCAACTATGCGTAAAATGATAGGTCATGAAGTGGTGCGATTCAGGATCGAGTGCGGTGCCGGATGGCTGGGGAAAGGTGCATGGTAGGCGTGTCAACAGCCATGGAAACGGAGACTTCGAATGACTCCTACCAACTATTTTTCGTTTGTGAGTAGTTTTTCGAGATTACCAGTAAATAAGACATATTAGAACGTAAGATCTACTCATATCGTTGTGGGAAAGTTCAATTGCCTTAGACGAAATAGAGTAAACACATCTCCTACTAATTATTTGGCGCGGTGCTGAAGTCTATTTCTACACGTTGATTGCGTAATGTACCGAGTTTACGAGGCCTTTGTGTTGAAAGTGATCGGCAATAGGATTAATAGCAAACTGTTACACAATGAAGTATACTTAACCATTTTTAAATTACAAGTAAGGTTTCGAGACTACCACTAAATAAGTTATATGAAATGTATTTACTCTATTTCGATCAAGGAGATGAACGACTGGTAGTTGAATTTCTCCACAACGACATGAATGGACTTTACTCTTCTAATGAGTTTCACATTGTTCTGCTTTCCAAAAAATTGCTCTCATCCAGGATGGACTGCAGTTTCGACCTCGCTTAGGTCTTACCAACAGCCCCAATGGGACTCGAACTGCCAGTGCAGCACGGAATCTCGACACTTTAAACAATACGCCACATTGTCACCAGTGCAATTGGGTCACATGGCAGTACCAGTTTTACTCATATCATTGTAGGAAATTTCAACTACCAGTCCTTCATCATCTTAAACTAACTCTAGCGAATAAAGGTATGAAGACCAAGATGGTGTGGCCTTTTGTGTGGTCGTAGTCTCCTTTCGTTGTATAGAGGCTGTTTGACCTTGTTTTCGCAACACGGTCATATTGATATGAAGACTTATTGGAATGTACCACGTCCACGGTTCAACTTTGGAAATGATCATGCAGACAATGGACCCCGGACTAGGTGC